GAGTGGCCGTGAGGATGGACAGGAGGGCAGAAGGACGGCACTGCAGCCTCCGCCGCCCACCCTGCCCTGGAGAAGTGGGTGCCCCTTCCTCCTGCTGACTTGGAGAGGTCAAGTCACCCCCACTGCAGATCCCCAGCCTGTCCCACCTTGCTCTCTGGAGCCAAGAAAAAAGCAGTGGAGGCTGGGCGCGGTGGTTAACGCCTGTAATGCCAGCATTTTGGCAGGCCAAGGCGGGAGGACAGCTTCAGTCCAGGAGTTCAAGACCAGCCTGAGCAACACGGTGAAATGTCTCTACAAAAATCAGCCGGGTGTGGTGGTAGGCACCTGTAGTTCCAGCGACTTGGGAGGCTGAGGTGGGAGGACTGCTTGAGCCCAGGAAGCAGAGGGTGCAGTGAGCCAAGATGGCGCCACTACACTCCGGTCTGGGTGACAGAGCGAGACTCCATCTAAACAAAACAAAACAAAACAAATCAAAAACAGTGGGGACCAGGCAGAGAAGCTAATGCACTAAAGGCCGTGGTGGGGGTGAGGGGAACATGGCCACGGGGCGGCTGCCGAGAGGAGTGAGCTGGAGGTGAGGATGGCAGTGACAGGGGAACTGCTATCACCGGTGATGGCCTCATGGGGACTAGAGATTGGTGTGGAGAGGGTGGGGTATGTGCTGTCCACACGATGACAGCGGCAGGCGACATGATGTCAGCAGTGGGGGGGACAGTGACATGCCATGTGACCTTGGGTTGGGGAGAGTGGTGGGGGGTGTGGCCTCAGGAGTTGGGGAGGGAATGGTGGTATGTGTGTGACCTCAGGGGTGGTGGAAGGGGAGAGGGGTTGGGCAGTGACCCCAGTGATGGTGGGGAGGGTGGTGGGGTTGTGTCTTTGGAGTCCTATCTCTTCCTCTCACACTGGGAGGGTTAGAGTGGCCACAGGCAGGCGTGAGTGCCCTGGAGGTGACTAAGGATGCGGCCACAGGCTGTCAGCCTCTCTCCTTGTGCTGAGAAGCTGAGGCTAAACTCAGCCCTCTAAGCTTGTCTGCTACCTGTGGCCTGACCTGGCCCGTCACCTCTCCCATGCACAGCAGCACCACCTAGGTGACCCAGAGCCCCCACTGCCACCTCCGCCACCCTGGCTTGAGGCCTCACTGGGTCTGGGCCCCATGCCCTCTTCTCCTCAGGGCCCCTCCCGGCTGCCCAGCACCCCCGTCCTGGGGGTCTGAAGCCCATGGAGCCGGTTTCTCTCTGGAGCTTCGTGGAGCGCCCCCAGTCCCCCGCCTTCCGCGGCTCCCCTCCAGGATCAACCCCCGGGCTCTCTGGACCTCCACGCCACGTCTGCAGATGATCCGCGGGTGCTGTCCGCGCTTGAGGACAGCTGTAGCCTCGCCAGCCCACTGGCCATCGTGGCCCACCTCGTACAGGCACAGATCCTGACCATGGCCGTGGGGAACAGGGAAAACACTGCTCCGGGGACTGTGGGAGGGTGCGGGGGGACGAGGGTGTTGGACAGGGCCTGACCCCAACACCTGCAGGTGGTGTGCGTTCACTCGTCTTCCGGAACTGCTGGCTTGAGGTGGCAGGAGGGGCTGGGAAGGGGTGAGGAGGAGAGTGAAGTAGGGGACCCTGCCCTTGGCTCACCTCGGTCTGTCCCCAGCCCCCACAACCCATCCATTCTCATGCCCCCCAATCCATCTCCAATCCCACTCCCAGCCCTGTCCATCCCCAGGCCCCTGCTCCCACCCCTCCCCGCTCCCTCTTCCTGCGTTAATCCTGCTCACTGCTGACCCAAGCAAAACGGAGTCCGCCTTCTCCCTTCTCGGCAGTTTTCTGTTGGCAAAGCAGAAAGGAAGGCAACTCAGGCTCAGCCCAGCCTCCTGCCTGGGGAGCACTCTGAAAATGGAGCATCACCCCGTGGGCCCGGCGCCTGGGCAGGGTGCACACACGGTCCTGGTGCGCCCTCGGCCCCTGCGCTGCTCAACATCCATCGTCGGCCCTGGCTCTTCGTGGGCATGGGGAGTGGGGTCTGGACCATACCGTGGCCTCAGCAGCTCCTGGGCTCCGGCCCCTCCCTCCCAGGCAACATATGCCCAACACACTCAGGCACTCATGGACATGCTGGTGCCGTCCCTGCCCTCGGCCCGTCTGTGACACCGTGACCAAAGTGATAAGGCTGGGCCAGAAAGTGGGGGCTAAGGCCCATCCATGGGGTGTGGCCAGGCCAGGCCATCTGAGGAAGGGACACTAACCCGTCCCTAAAAGCCAAAAAGGTGCTAGCCAGAAACGCCCAGGAGTGTGCAAGCAGAACTTCAAGGGAAGAGAATGGGCTCTCCAGATGGCAAGGTGTGGCGCTTTGGGGGGTGAGGCAAGCACCAACACATGCTGCTGCAGGGACAGCCTCGAGCCGGCCCCTCGGGGCAGCTGTGCCCCCTGGGAAGCCTCAGCCAGTGGCTTTCACCGCACAGCCTGCAGACTGAGCGCTCCCCAGCGGCCAGCCCTGCCTTCCCCCAGCCTCGCCCTGATCCTGCTTTGCTCCCCAGCCTGGGCAGGTGGGACAGGACCCTGACCTGCCGCCTCCTGCTAGGGCAGGCTCAGCACAGGTGCCGCCCTGTGTGCTGGCCCCAGGGGCTGCACTGCCCTCTGGCGGGACACAGGCCACAACTGGCCCCGGGGGTGAAGCTGCAGGTCCTGCCAGGCCTGGCATCACACCCTTGACTAGTCCCCAAGGCCTCCTAGAGCCTCCTGGAGCCATGGTGATGCCTCCCCAAATCCGCCCACCACTGCCGACTCAGCTGCCCGTGTGGACGTGCAGTCCCTGGGGGGCTGGACAGGGTAGTCCCCTGTCCAGCAGGCCCCTGTGCCCAGCAGACAGCCACCAGCTGCTGCAGGGGTGAGGATGGGATGGGGCGCGGTCCCTTCCCGCAGCCCAGGGGCTATCTGGCAGGACTCCCACAGAGGCCGGAGGGCGTGGTCCAAGCCTGAGGGGCTGGGCTGGTAGGCATCCGCTTTCTGTTCTGGAGTGGGGCTCACTGCTGCCCCCGGAGCAGCCCCAAGTGGCAGGTGGGGAGGGGGACCCCCCTCCTGCCCAGCCCTGCCTTGATTAGAACTCAGGACTCCAGATCCCGGGACCTCCGCCCCCCTCCCCGTGGCCGGCAGTAGGACCTCAGGGCCTCCCACATCGCCACAGCACCCCTGTGCACCAGGCTTCCTCCACTTCACAGGATGGAGGCGGTGACAGGAGCCGGGTCCCAGCCACGTGTGACTCCAGCTGCGAGGCCCCCACTCTGTGGCAGAGGGACCGGATGGCAGGGAGGCAGCCCCAAGGGAAACCCCTGAGGGGGCAGCAGGGGACAAGATGGCCTGGGGCAGAGAGCAGGGCCAGGATCACAGGCCCAGGCTTGGTGGCAGCCAGGGGAGGGGTGTGTGTGGGCAGGGGTGGGATGGGTTGGGCGTACCCCAGGGGTCTGTGGTGGGGAGGGGCATGCTCTCCGGGCAAAAGCCCCCTCCCCCAGCCTATGGTGGCCTGGCGCCCACCGTGCAGGAGGCAGGTGGCAGCTCTGTCCCCACCTTGGGTCTGGACAGGCCACAGGAGGTGGGGAGTCCCTGCACTTCCCAGACAGGGCCGCCATCCTGTCATCCCCAATTAGCGCCTAATGGCCTCCTTGATGCACAGTTTTATTAACCAAATTAATATGTGCTGGCGAGACCTGCATGACCTTGGCCCATTCTGCTGAGACAGGGATTTTCCCAGGAGAGCAAATGGGGGACCTGGACCCCCACCCCGGCTCAGGAAGGCTGGGGAGCCCCACCCTCCCGCCCAGGAAGATGGCACCACGGCGCCTGCATCTCTGGGACCCCAAACACCCCACTCGCACCCCCATTTTCCCGGCTGAAGCACGAGGGAGGTGGCAGCACAGGGTCCTGGACCCTGGAACTGGAGCTTGGGATGCAGGGCGGGTTGCTCCCACCTGGGGACCTCCGGACCTTCCCATCGGAAGGGACTGGACGAGAGGGCAGGGGTCTTGCAGAGCTGGGGGCTGCCTTGCTACCCGGGGTCTGTGCCTCAGCCCTCCCAAGGTGCACCTGCCTGTGCCGCCTCCCAGGGCTGCTAAGCAGGTGGCGGCTGCCCCCTGGTGGCTGCAGGGAATGACTCCCACCAGCCCTGTCCCTTTCAGAACCTGCTGGGCCCTGGGGCCCTTGGTGAGGACCCCTACTCTGGCTCCGTGGCTCCTCTCGGGTGCAGCTCGGGCCTGCCCTGCTCTGCAGCCCTTCCCACCCCCTCCCCTTGGTGCCCAGGTCCTGAGCCCACTGCTGTGGGGGTCCTGGGGGCGGTGTCCTGCTGACTGCCTTTGGGGGCCATTGTCCACCCAGTCTATGGAGGCCTGGAGGCAGCCCCACTTCCCCTGCTTGAAACACTGAGAGCTCACGGCCTGTGCAGGCCCCAGGTTCAGGGAGAGGTGACATGCTCAGGAGCTGGAGGGTGGCACCTATGGTCGGAGCAGGACAGCAAGGTGGGCAGCAGGGCTGGCAGGCTTAGGGCCACCATGAGACCTGGGCCATGACACTGGGGACTCCTGGGCAAAGGGGACACTTGCTGGGATGACCAGCACAGGGCCCGGGGTGACCAGCACAGGGTGCAGAGGTGGGGAGTCCCTTGCTCTATGCACAGACAGGACAACAGGAGGTATTTTCGGGGAAGGCCGGGTCCCAGACACGGGGTCTGTGGATGCTGTGGGTGTGCCTGGCTGCTGCATGGTGGCATGGTGGAGGGGCAGCGAGCGAAGGGGTGCCCAGCAGGAGTCACTGGGCACCAGGCAGAAACTTGGCCGGAGGCAGGACTGAGACCTCAGGGTCTGTGCCCAGGGCAGCAGCAGGGTGGACAGAGCCCGGGGGCACAGATGTGATGGCTGTGAGGAACCCTCAGGGTGGGGCAGCCCCAGGAAGCTGACCTCAGACCGGCAGAGGGACTGGCACCCTTCCTGTGTGTGGGTGAAGAGGCCACAGCTCCCATCACTGGGCTCAGACAGGTCTGACCATAGTCTTTAATGGGCAGGCAGGTGCCCGAGGCAGCCTTCGGCATGAGGCGGGGCAGGCATTGCCCAGAGGTCCTCTGGGTGGGGAGGGCATGCTTGGTGCTTCCCACCAGCTGGAGCCAGGGCTGAGGTGTGCAGGGAGCCTGGCCCTCACAGCCACCCTGGGCACTTCGAGGATGAGGGCAGAGCTGGCTTCACTGGGGCACGGGGCTGGGAGCAGCCTCCAGGCTTGCCCTGCTGGGCTTTTCGGCTCCAGCTGAGGAGGGGCCGGGGGCTGGCCCATGTGGATGCCGGGGTCTTGCAGCCATGCTCCCTCTGGCTGCTTAGAAGCCCCCTGGGGCCCAGCAGGGCGGGTCGGCGGTCCCCCTGTAGCAGGGACAGAGATAGACTGTGGTCAGCCACTGCTGGCCTGTCCCCACCTGCAGCCAGTCTGGGAGGGGTGAGAACCACCTGGGAGGGGCTGGCACACGGGGGCTTGTTTGGGGGCTCCCATCAGGGTGACCACATAGTAGGGGCCCCATGGGTTTCACCCAACCCTGGGTCAACCATGCTGGGTAGATGAAACTTCTGGGATGGGGCACCTGGCCCAGAAGCCTCCAGTCTGAGGACACACAGGCCCAGTGAGGGGTGGGCTCAGCGTCCTCGGGGTCAGGGCAGGAGCCCTCAGGTGGAGGCCACAGCACAGGTGGCCCCTGCCCAGGAGGCGGCCCGGGGAGGGTTACCCGCAGCCCCACCTCCCCTTCCCAATGCTGCTCAAGCATCCAGGGCACGCCCAGGGCCAGGGTGGGGACAGCAGGCGGGGCCCCCAGGGCTCACCAAGGTGGGCAGCCTAGAGCTGGGCAGCACCGACACCACCTGCAGGCTGGCACCCGCCTCTCCTGCAGCCTTCAGCTCCGCCACCACCTCTGCGTGTCTCCACCACCTGCACGGCTGCCCGTTCACTGACACAATGTAGTCACCCTCCTTCAGGCCGGCCGCCTGTGGGGAGACTTGGATGGTGAGGCGGGGACAGGACACCCTGGCTGGCACTGGGGACTCAGCCTCAGGGGGCCGGTGGGGCCCTTACCGCGGCCTGGCTCCCTGGAATGACAGCAGCAATGAGGACAGGCGAGTCTCCCCGAAGCGTGAGGCCGAAGCCACCCTCTCCTCGGGTCAGGTGGATGGGCCCCACCAGCCGCCACCGGTTCTTGGCTGAGAACACAGACAGGGGCCCCTGGCGGGGGCTCAGAGGTCAGAGGCCCAGCTGGGTCACACACTGAGGAGACCCCGCCTAACCAGCACGTCCATCCAACCTGTGCACCGAGGGACGCCGTGGGGTTCCACAAGGCGGGTGGGCAGGGCTGGACCGCCATCAACGGCCTGAGGCCATGTGCTGGTCAGAGCCACGAAGCCCAAGCTGCCTGTGCCTGGGGACAGGTGTGCTCACCAGCCGATGGAAGATGTCAGGCCCCTTCCCCTGGGACAGGCGTGGCGTCCTGGCCTCTGGCTTCTGGTGGGTCTTAGCTGAGAGGGTGGAAGAGCAGAGCTAAGCTGGGAGCCTGTGGAGACCTGCCCCGGGGATTTTCCAGGGCGCAGGGCATGACCCCGAGCGCACACAGGCCCTGCCTCTGACCTCCTGGCCTGGCCGCACTGCAATGGCGGGGGGAGCTGCCCCAGGTGCCCTGAACACATAGCCTCCTCTGCCACAAGTGGCTCCCAGAATCCTTCCCTGAAGTCCCAGGCGTGCCTGTCCCGGGTCTGTGGGCTTCCCCTCAGGGTAGGCCAGTGCAGGGAGGGAGGGGCTGAGGGGCGTGGCCATCCCCCAGGCCCCTGAAGGGCCCGGCAGCTCTGTGGGCCTGAGATTGCGGTCTGGAAAGTGCTACTGCTGTTGAATTCATCGTGGCGATTGCATCTTTAATGCAATCAGCCTCCCTTTCTCCAGGACGAAGGCCCCCACCCTGGCCGGGGATGCAGCCACCCACACAGGCCCTGGCTGCTCACGCTGGATGTCTGGGGCCTCGGCAGTCTCACAGAAGTCATCCTCACGGTCAAGCTCCGCATACTTGGCCAGTGAGCGCTGCAGCGTCTGGGCGACCACAGCCCGCAGCAGGTCCACCTCTCGCAGGACGCGGCACAGGGCGTGCAGCCGCAGCGCTTCCTCCTGCCCCAGGATGGCGCGCTTCAGGTGTGCCTTGCCTGTACGAGGGGCACTGGGACGTCACATACCATGTGGGCCTGTGGGCCCTGGGACGTGGCAGAAGGAGTGGGCAAAGCCAGGGCTGTGGGGCTCATCACAGCCACTTTTGCTGTAGGCGTATGCCACAGGGGTGAGGAGCTGGCTGTGCAGGAGGGCTCTGCCTCATACAGAGCAGGGGCCAGGGACAAGCTGCTCCCAGGGGTCTCCCACCTGCTCAGAGGCTGCCAGCACTCCTGGGGCCCCTGTGCTGGACCGTCACCCATCAGGCACAGGGCATCCAGGGATAGGTAGGTGGCCCAACTCGTTAGCATGGGGACACCAGGTGGAAAACAGCGTGAGGGTGGTGGGGGACACCCTGCCACTGTTGGTGACCACCTGAGCCCCCAGGGCCCTCCATCCATGGGCGCCTTACCAAGCTGCCTGCGCTCCTCCAGCTCCTGCGGCAGCACAGGGCCTTGGGGCTTGCAGGAGGTGGGGGGCTGGAGGAAAACCTGCTCGTGTGTGGGGAGCTCTCCCTCGGTCGCTGCTGGGGGACAGAGAGGCCATGAGCCCTGAGCGGGGGGCCTTTGCAGCATCATGGGCAAGTGCGGTGGGCACTCACAGGAGCCGTCGCAGAGGGCCATGGCTACGTGGTAGTGGGCCAGGGAGCGGAAGTACTCGGCCTTGACATGCACCAGGGCAGTCCAGGAGGCGGGCATGTAGTCGTGGACGGGTGGCTGGGCCATGGTCTGGTGCACTAGTCTGTACTCGGCTGCCACCTGCCGGTGGACATGGCAGGCACGCGAGGGCCTCCCGCTCTGGGGGTGACTGCCTCTCCCTACCCAGCCTCCACCCGCTCCGACCACCATCCCAGCAGCCTCCCTGGCACCCCAGTTCCTGCCGCTTCATGCCATTCCCTGGAGGCAGAGGCTTGGGCGCCCAGGTTCCTGACCAGCCCCCCAGGGAGCAGGACAACAGCCGGCTTGGGGCTGACACACAAGGAAGGAGGCGGGAGAGCTCACGCTTGCCTGGACCTGGGCTCTGGCCCCAGCTCGGCCCTACCACCTGCACCCTGGCACGGGTGCCCGAGCTCACCTGGGCAGCCTCCTGCGCCAGGCGCAGCTGGGCCAGGCAGTCTTGGGGGGCCATGGAGGCAGGGGGTGAGAGACCCTCAAACACACATTCCTGGGCCTGGGCCATCATGAGCTGCTCCAGTGCGCAGAGGGACGCAGGGCTCATGTCTGGGCTCGGCGCATGGGAGAAGTTCTCCCTCAGGAGGCTGAAGGTCCCTGCGGAGGGAGGGGTGCTCACACAGGCAGGGCCCTGACCTGCCCATCTCTGCCCCATGCAGCACTCAGGGAGGCCAGCTAGGGCCGCTCCTGGGACACGCATGGGCCCGATGTGCTCAGACCCCCTACCTGAGGGACTGACGTCCTAACCACCCCCCAGCTCCTGCCCTGCAGAAGGGGCTCTGCAACACCCTGGCACCACACCCTGCCCCCCCGCGGCCCGGGCCGCCCTCACCAGCGGCCCTCTGGAAGGCCTCCACAGCACGGTGGGCACCCTCGGCGCAGGAGCGGTTCTGGCGCGCCCCAATCTGCGTGTGGAGGGCGCCGATGTTGAAGAGAACGCTGCCCTTCTCGAAGGCCAGGGCGCGCTGCTGGGCCGGGACCCCAGTAAGCGAGTCGTACCTGCAGTGTCGGGTCAGGCTGGGCGGAGTTCCCACAGTTCCCACGGCCAGGCCTCCCCTCCCCAGGGTGCCCCCGCCCGCAGAGCCCCTACCAGTGGAAGAAGAGCCCGAGGCTCCTGGCAGGGGTGAGGAAGCGCGCGTCCAGGAAGCACAGCTGGTTATAGTAGGCTGTGAGCAGCTCCAGGCCCGCCTCATTCCGGCTGGGGGTCCGCATGGCCTGCAGGGCAGGAGCCGCTGGGCCCCACCGCCCTGGCCCATCCCACTCACACACACTGCCCTGGGAAGTCCCGTGGGCATCAGCACCATGGGGGGCGGGGAGGCAAAGCCAGCGGGGCCCTGGGCAGCCGAAACTCCCAAAGGCCAGCAGCGTGCGGCACTGGGGCCACCTGCCAGCCCCTCGACACGCCCCGGCTGGGTCTGCACACACAGGGTCCTTGGTGCGCCCGTCTCCCCACATCCTCCAGACGTCCACACTGAGCTCCGCCGTCTGTTTCTGACTTAAGCCTCAGCCTCTGCATGTGTCTCCCAGGACTGCAGGAGGGTGGGCG